ACACACTGACGCTGTTGCTGGTTGATGACGACTGCTATTCCAGACCGATCCGAGTATTGCACAAGAGCCTAATGTGGTGTATATCGAGTCAGAGTTGGCAGCACATGGTATCGTTGGTGGACGATGCATCCTGCCAATCACTGATCCCTATGTAATCCTCTCTGGCTATATAGTCGAGACCGGTGTTATATTGGATGTCGTTCAGGTACGACACCATGGTGCATTGGGAGGATATGCGATCGTATATGTCCCTCCTGAGTCAGTTGAACGCAGTTTTGGCATTCTGGAAGATCTCGGAAAGTACGACGATGCTCCTTTCATGGTGAGCTCCTCTTGCCATGATACATTGACATTCTCGAATCGGCAGTTATTGGTAGGTATACCGTCGTGAAGACGCTGCTGAGCTATTCGAGCTTCCAGTTGACCGAATAGGCGATTTGATCCTCGATGGAGGCCCAAGCACAGTCTTGGGGAGAACTCCAGAATACCACGATTTGTCTCAGGTCGGGGTTTGCCGGGTCGAGGCTCGAGAATTCCTATCTTTCCACGTGTTAGGTTCCGAAGTTGCGCTCGCATGGCTCTAGTTGCGAACAACATGTGCCGTTGATAGTCAACCGCCCTGTTGGTCCGAAGGCTCTATTAGGAGCTTGTCGGAACTTTGATCTTTTTCGACTATTACTCGACGATACAATTCACGCGACAAGTATGAATGAATAAGTGTGAAACTCGTGATGAACTTGCCGCGTTGACTTAACTGCAGATTGGTAGTTTCATTATAAGTCTTCCCATGAGTGAGCTAGCAGATCAGCGGAGTCTCGTCATGATCGAGCGTCTATCCAACTCGACTATGATAGATGTCCGAGATCTTCCCAAGATGCTGCAGGCGGCCGCTTGCACTCTCGATACGCTCCCCGAGGAATGTCGCGGCGTGCCGGAGTTCTTGAGCCAGGCTAAGGTTGACATTCTGAAGGCTCTGAAGATACAGATCGTTGAGACTTCGACAGAGACAGTAACTACAGAGACTCTACAGAAATTCCTGACAGCAGTAGCGGAGAGGCTTGGGGACATGAAAGTGCTGTGTGAGGGCAATGCTGAATGCTCTCTTGATGAGTTTTAGTGACAAGTATGTAAATCGGATTCAACTATTGTTATACTTGTTGATTTTGGCTGGCATGTGTTGGGTTAACAGTAGGAAGGCGGCTGTGTTGACATCGAGGAAACGAACCGATTAGAATTTTGATGAAGTCGAATGAGTGTCAAAGTTGACCGCGAAGACGCTCTTTGTGATCTACGATAGACAGCAAGAGAGCATATGTCACACACGTGTTATGTGTATTCCCTATTGATTGGAATGCTAAGACATGGTCTATGATACAGATATACAAGTGATGATGATCTTGTCGAGGGAATCTCATCATTGAGTATGATTCAATTCGCAGCTAAGAGTAATGATAGTGCACATTCTCGTGTCTAGAAACCACAAAGGCAAATCGTCCAAAAATTCAACTACGCAATCAATTATTGATTACGTAGTTGAATTTTTAAACGCGGTTTCTAGCATATTGTTTCTCAATATTGATTCTCCAAAGTCAGATCATGCGTAGTTGCTCAACAGTGGTGGGTGTTGGGAAGCGAGTTGGACGAGGAGCTCAGCGGACTGCGTTGTTCATGCAACTGCAGGAAATTCCACTGCTCATAGTCCTCCTGTTCGTCGTAACATATTTGGTTCATCATCACGTGTAACATATGATTGGAATAGGATCCGCTCTGACCAGTGGTGGGATATATATCTGGGCTCCTTAGTTGAGCTCAGATACTCACCCTCAGGAGTTTTCCGACCAATTATAAGAGTTTACACACAAGTTCGGTGAAAGTGCACAGAAACTAACAAAAAATTCCGCAAATTTCTCCAAAATTTTCATATTATCACCAACACACGCAGTTGCACATTCTCCCACACGGGTTTTGCGGGCGTTTCCTCTTGGGTATAAAGAGTCGATGCTTTTTCAGTTGACAGTATTGTTATTTGTTGTTGGTGTTGTTGTTTTTGACGTCTTTGACTTCGAAGCTTGTGATATTGATATACGAACGATATCCACAAGAAACCCCTGACAAAACGTCTCAACAGTATGATGAGGAATCAGCAACAATCTCACATTGTTTTCGTATAGGTATGATGACAAATACTCAACCGAACGGTACTGAGTCGCCGACCAAGAGCGACTCGAAGGCTTTTTCTCACAACCTAGTCCCGAGGATTAGCATTGAGGAGTCTCGTGTGAACTCTCCCATGAAGACGCCTTTTAATGTTAATGCTGCGGAATTCGTACCACTCTCCGCTCGAAACGTAGAGGAGAGAGTAAGTGGAGCTCATGGAGAGCCCGTCGTGATGGTTGGCTCAGGGTGATAACGAGAACACGGCAGCACTGAATGTGAATGCCCCAGCGTTCGTGCCTGGTGGAACGACGACAAGCAACTGTCTCGGACTTGTAGATCCAAGCGAAAGGGTGAAGGAGGAAATATGCCAAGTAGTGGCATTTCCAGTGGGGGGCATTTTGATGTCGATTTGTTGGTGTTGTTTTCAGATAATTCACTCTATGGGAATGACTGGTATACGTGTGACGCAATTACCTCATCAATATCGAAGGTCTACAGGCAAATGGCTAATCTTGTCGGATACCAAATTTTCCACACTTTCTGATGTCATTGACGACATCAAAGTAAGTCACTTGAGCCGCCGCCGCCACTGAAAGTTTGTATGCAGGCTCGCATCGAGTTTATTGATAAACCAGGAAGGTCTTCTACGGACAAACACGCCACTGTTGATGCTGTAACTACTACTCCGTTTGACAAGAAACTAGTCGTAGAGCCTTCGGTCAACGCTCCTGGTAAGCATCGTACGGTTCGCGATTGTCCATTCAGCATTTTCCCTCAGGAGCGGCTGCATGTCCTCCGCTGGTCATTGGCCATCACGCTGACCGCATAGTTATGGACAAGTACTATGGACACTACTCTGAGGAGCTCAACTTCTTCAGGCAGCTAGTAGTAGCAGTTGTGAGGTATTGTCTACTTGTTTTCATCCAACAACATGATGAATTGCTGCTTTCCTCGTAGGGACTTTTGCCTTCGAAATCAGTGCTCGAGTGGTAGTATGAATAGCTCGGCTATAGATGCTAGAAGAGCCCCGCCTCATCAACGGCCAGCTGGGTTGGCGCTATCTCTATTCGCCGCGGAGTGGGATAGGTGAGTGTCGGTAATTTTAGGGGATATCGATGGTCGTCTGTTGTGCAGATACTTTCATGGTAAGCACGGACTCAAGGAAATGAGAGAGCGCTTTGGTGTGATGAAGTTGATGCCGTTCCTGCACTCTATAAAGGAACTAGACATTGTAGGAACTCACCCAGAGGTAACGCTGCTGTGTAGAGGACGAGCCTCTGCCCTCTAGTGTCTTTGTAGGTGCGGGTTCGAATGAAGCCTGAGTACCTCTACTCATCCTCCTCTGCTATTCAGAAGTCCCCTGTTAGTCATGCTGCTCCTCCAGGCTTTGATGAGAGTAGTTCTCTGGGGCGATCGAATATTGATTGAATTGTCATGTTTAGGAGCTCCTCTTGTGATGGAGGGCTATGGTACTACTAAGGAGTTCCTATCGCCGACGCCGCGCACGCAGAGAAATGTAGGAAGGATTTTGAATATGAAATATGGTATTTTCTCTCTTACTGTTTTAGGATCCTCATCAAAGTTATTCCGACCAAGCATCAGCTACGGCCCTACTCGCACAGCAGTTGTTGCAATCTCAACAGCAACTGATGACACTGATAAGTCTACAGCAACAACAACTAGCTAGAATGGGAGCTTCATCGACGGTAGCGCTACTAGAGAGGATTTCAATGGATATCTCTCCGCTCTGTGTAGAATCAGGAATTGGAATCTCTGGTGTCGGGCCTGCTAGCCGGGGTGAATGATACTGCCACAGTGAGTGGCTGCGGTGATACTAATGGGATGAAGGTGAGCTGTCATAGTTACTGACTCGGTTACTGTGCAAGGGAATGCATAGAGTTCGCCTCGGAGCTGATGTTAATATTCAAAGTATGAACATAGGACGCTACAGAGATCACTAGGTCGGCAGTTTGTAGACTAAGCCGTATGTTAATACTTTCAATGATTTACATCAGCTCTGGAGAGTTTCTATTGGCCAGGGATGTTTTTTCTTGCAGTGTGAGAGTCTTGTCTTGTGAGTTTGTGGTATGTTGTCAGGTTCCTCAGCAGCCTGTGAGTACAGCAACCCCACGTCCTCTAGACTGCCTTAGTCCAGCAGCAGCAGCATCAGCAACAACGCCGACTCTGATATCTAAAGACGACCTCAAACAGCTCCTATTGAGTGTAGGTCCTCCTACTACTCTTCGTGATAATTCTCTTGATGTGTTGTGTAGGTTGTTGAGGAGGCCTGTACTGATCAAGGGCGATCTTGGGATGCCCGACAGGACTTACTATCGGGTATAACTGGGGAGGAATCTGACTCGAGTGTGAGCAGCAGCAGCTTATACAGTGATAGCGGCATGTCTGATATGAGGTAGTAGTAGTAGTAGTAGTAGTAGTAGTAGTAGTAGTAGTAGTAGTAGTAATAGTAGTAGTAGTAGTAGTATCATAAAGGAGGCGTTGGAGTTGGCATTGAATATTTAGTTTCCGTCGTACTGAGGTGAATGCCCTCGATGGTAGCATACCAAAGTCGTTATCGACGACGGCTGAGAGGGGGATGCAGGCACAGTGCAAGAGGTAGTATGTCACTGTTCATGATGGATGTGTTCATGTTAGTATTCAGGAACAAGACTGTTGGGATGCCAGTATCGTCTGTTAAGAGGGCGTGGAAGAAGGCTTATCCGGGCCTCAGCCCTCTGGACTTCTACATGACCTACTTTGGAATACGCAAACTGAAATTCTTACTGTTGGAAATTCCAGAGTTGCTGCTGATCGGTAAGCTGGCAATACATGATGTTATGTTCAAATCTGATGTAGGTAGCGGAGGTTCGATGAGAGTTGCGACCTTTGCGCATGTGCTGAAGTACTGTGATCCGTTTCCTTCGGATTGCCGCTCGGGTGCTGCTGGCCTTCATGCTGCTGACGAGACATTCGCGGGCGAGAGCGGTCTACGGCAGCAATTGCATAAGTGATCGTGACAGCTGATTATATGTGCAATGATTTCTCATCATAACAGGTTGTTATTCGACTTGGTAGCGGAGAAGTGTCAAGAGCAGCAAATTGCAGAACTTGCTACTAGGGCTACTTTTGGTGACACAGAGGCTAGAAATATTCTAGAGAAGTATAATGAGGCTGGTCAGAGCCTTTCTGAAGCAGCTGAGCGGGCCAAGGTACTAGCACATGGTCATTGGTAGCTGTGATATGGTGGCTATGTTAGGACGGTGGTAGAAGTAGCAGCAAACCGGCGCCGATCGATACGACTGTGGTTGCGGTAGAAGGCGATGAGAGTGTAGATGAGGTCATTAGGATGGTCCCTGAGGTACGTTGGTTTTTCCATTAAGAATGGTAGTATATTCAACTTGAATGATTATATTCAATATAGAGGAGTGGTATGAAATCAGTAGTGAAAAACATATTTCACGAATACTGCACAGCGCGAATATTGTTTTTTTCACACAGAGTATTACGCCACTTAACGTGAAACGGATGAAACTGCACTGAATTTACTAGTATCAGTTATAGTAAAATCTATATACAGTTGAATATGATGAATATTCTGAAACGTATAAGTTACCGCTTGCTGATGCTCATTGGTATGGATCCTTTTTCAGCCTGAAGGTATACTACTGACTGATATCGAGAGAGTGTGGTATGAGAAATATGGTCAACATCTACAGCCTATGTTGGAGCTTGCAGGATATAGGAACGTAAGAAGTTGCCCTTGTGGGGGAACTGTTCACTGATAGCTTCCCTCAGGCGAGTCGATTGATCCACACCTGTCCAGGACTAAGAGTTTCTGGTCATGGTATGTACCTTCGATGCCGAGTTGGGAAGAAGGTAGTGATATAGTCCTTTGTAGGGGTAGTAGTGAACTGTGGTTGCATAGGCGTCGTCATCGCTATCACCAAAGGCTCTGGATACTAGACCGTCTATTATCACTCCCGAGACCGTACCGTTACCTTCACCGATGGGAAATCGTTATTATCATCATCAGCAGCAACAAGGGTTGGCTAAGACGCCAATATGCTTGGCAGATGACCTTCTCTCTGATATCACTGAGGTAAGGAAGCGATCTCCTTGAGACCTTCGAACGAGTGGTTATGTTGTAATTTATGTCATAGTTGATCGCAGGGTAGTAGGGGTGGTAATTACGATGTTAATTTCAGTCCCCGGTGGTTGGCAATAACGAAGGTAATGGAGTGTCTGCTGCTTTTACTAGTAGCAGTTTTACCTCGTCATCATCATCGTCAACCCCAGCGTCGGGGGGGATCTTTGGACCCCAGTTGATGAGTAGAGGCGATGATGGTATCGGCTTGGGATCGGTACCGACCTCCGTAGCTGCCCATTTCGGCCAATCTAGTGCTACGATGGGAACAGCAGCTGAGGAAGTACCGTACATCGCTGAGGATGCTGCTGCTGCCGACGCTCTACTTGGAGGGCTGTTGTCTTACCCTCGTTGTGGTCGATCTGAGGGGCATGGTGACGCTTATGGCTATTCTGAGAGTACTGTTGACAACAACAATAGCTTCCTGCAACAGGTAGGTGCATGATAGTGTCTACTGCAGTGCAGTGGCGATGATTCCATTGTCAGTCCCCTTTGATGTCTATGGAAGCCCTGCTGGCTGAAGTTGATACCCCTCCGACGAAGTCTACGGCTTTTGGAGCCTCTCCGTGTAATGATAAGCAAACAGGTTTGATGAGCACGGTTCGTTCGAGAGGAGATCGGCTACTGCTCCCATCACGAAACTCGCATGCATCAACTACTGGTGTTACTGTTGATGATGCTACAAAGGAGGCGTCTTCGCCTATATGGAAAGATCCGGAAGAATTGCACAAGTCGCTCAAGGCG